TAATGTAGCATTACAACTTTTGGAGCTTGCATCTCATGCTGGGGAACCAATCAGCACGCGCAGTTCATACTGCGATTCCATAGAATCATTGGCTGGGACGAAGCCTCCCAATATAGGTCACCATATTCGTGCGCTTTAATGTAGGAAGTACATCTCGTTAGTTCAAGCTTGCACCGTAGGGCAATTATGGCTGATGAATGACCCTGTCTGATTTTGAGGCAGCGATCATAAGGCTCTCGACGTAAGAACAACTCAAACAAACAGCCCTAGGATACTACAAGCAAAAGACGCCGCCCATGACTGGAAGCCCTGAAGACAGGGAGGCAATCGGGGCCATGATCCAATGAATGGTTTTTGGAAAAGAAAGACAACGTCAACGAGGAAGGCAAAGGGTCAGCCTTGGGAGGTCTCACATGCATCCACGCAAGCGGAATTGTGGGCCCAGAGCTTGCTCAAGCTACGATCGCGCTAGGAGTTTGCTGCCCCATACTGTAGTGCAGCCGGGACGAAAGTGGCGTGAGCAGAAAATGGCTCCTGCGCGAGCAAGTGGTCATGAGCCATTATCGACTGCAGTCGGAGATGGTACAATGCCGCTCTCGATGCAGCGCCAGGAGGTGCTTGAGTGCTAGTGACTTGAGCCTGGTTAATGACAGTCCTCCTCGGCTCGATGTAGTAGCTGAGCTGGCGCAGAAGCGCTGCACCGCTTCAGAGCCCGCATGGGGATGCTTAATCATGGTGTACCGCTGGGTTGTCGACGGTTTTGCTGCGTACTGCCGTTCACCTTTCCGCTCTGCGGGGACTGCTGAGGAGTGCTGAAGGATCAATGTGAAGCACGTGCAAGTAGTTGTATGAAAGGGACCGCCCATGCAAGCGCGCATAAATAATGCAAGCATGACGGCGTTCAGAGCCGTGGATGCGCTCCAGGTTGGTGTCCGGAGCAGCTCGAGGTAGCCTCTGCTGACACGGAAGCGCGTTGACTCACGAGGTGGCGCGGTGCCGTGGTGCATGTTGTGGCTGGACAACGGCATGGCTGGGTGCGGTGTCGTGTAGCTGCGCCTTGTCGAAAACAAGTGGTAGTCCCTCACGTTTAGCACTCATTGCAACCCCATGCATGCTCGACTATCACCCACTCGACATTCGGGCTTGGCGCTTGATCTGGAGGAATCACGAGTTCCCTCTTACCAAACGACCATGTCTAGCAAAGGCTTTCCTTTTAAGGCGAGCGACTTGCATGCACGGCTCGAGGCATTCCAACGGCATCAAGTAGACGAATCTTTCAAGCTACTGAGGGAGAATGCGAAGTAGGAGCACTGAAGGGGCGCGCTTCACGTTGCCCATAGTGGGTGGCTTGAGGATTATTAGCGGGATTACCTGCTCACTAAAGCCGCTAGGCCATTGAACACCTACTTACTGAAGCAGCTGATTGACCGCTGCACCACCCACTAAGCCACCCACTAAGCTACTAAATCATCCACTAAATTAATCACTAAAGCACCTCCGCTACAGTACACCTAACCCTACGAAGCAACCACTAAATCACCTACTGAACCACCCACTGAACCGCCCACTGAACCACCCACTGAACCACCCACTGAACCACCCACTGAACCACCCACTGAACCACCCACTGAACCACCCACTGAACCACCCACTGAACCACCCACTGAATCACCCGAAGCCTGCGCCAGACCTGCTAGGGAGTACCTGCTCGCTCCGCTTACAAAGCCAGAATCCTCTCCCCAAGCGGATCTCCAGGCTTGCCTGCGGACTGTGATGAAGATACCTATAAGGGAGTATAAGAACAATAACAATGTCCTTAACGTCCTTGATACAACCGCATCCGCATTCTGAATGATGCTTAAGACTTCAGCAAAGATCTAATCCCAGGCTTGCGCTAATATAGTTCCCAGCGCCGTTAGAGGTCAGTAAGCCACCAGTCGTCCTTCGAGCACTGTTAGGCCAGAGGCGAGTTCAGTATGGCTATGCTTTGCTCCAAGAAGTCACTGCTATCCTCATAGTAAGCCAAACGCCCGTGGGCTAATATTCACGAAGCTAGGTAGAATGCTAATGGTATGAGGGAGGGTCGATTCCACTCTTGACGTCCCTGCTGAGCTCCATGAGTTTCTGCAAGTCTGGCGAAATCTGGTCTACGTAAGAGAGACAAGTACTAGTAAGGTTCTCGAACTTATCGGCTTTCTCACTTGCTTGAATCTCTTGTTGCTCAAGATGTAGGACGAGCTGTTCTAATTCCATCAAGCGGTTTTCGGCGGAGAGTTTCAGCTCCGTTTCTTGGCAAAGGCGCACTTGTAGATCAGCAGCTTCGCCTTGGAGTCTTTCAATCTCACTCTTGAGATTGCTGATATGTAGCGTAAAACTTGGTTGATTTAGAGTGGACTTAGCTAGTTAGCTATGAGAGCTATAATGAAACAACAAGCTGGTCTATCATACCTTGCTTAAGACGAAGGGGCCGGCCGTTATAGCTTCGAAAGCCGCCCCGACACCTGAACAGAGCTGCTTATAAGCGCTGATAGAGTGATCGCTTAGATTCTTCGTAAATAAATGCGCTGCCTCGGTGACATAGCTCCAGCGATATGGATCATTCTCAGACGTCACTAGTCTGACATCTGAAGGAGTAATATGGCAACCCACTTGCTGACCTATATGCTATTAGCAGGGGTTGGGAGGCTGCGCAACCTTACATACGGATATGATCTGCCAGGACCTCACGGCATTTAATCCGCCATTCCTTTCTATCCACGTTACTCGCCCTGGTAGCCATCCTAGAAGTGGATAGGTGATTGTTTGGGGGGATCTATAGAAGACTGAGATAAGCGACCTGTGAATGAGGAGCTCATATAACAGCCTTTCGCGAGACGTCCACGTTATAAGTAATTCCGTCGCCAAAATCAGCGCCGGTACTCACCGTACTAAGTCGCATTTAAGCCAGATCTGCTTAGCTCGTTTGAAAGTACACGCCATGTATCCAAAAATTAGAGAGTAGCCAAATATAGCCTGGAGCAAGGACGAATCAGAGCATAGGGTACTCTGATAGGGATAGCATTCGTAGTGATAGGCATAGGGTACATTCATAGGGATCATACTAGCTAGGCTATTTTACTACATGGATTTCGCAGCTCTTAGCTCTGTTGCGAACCGCGTACTTCCACGGCGTCGTTGCAGCTGCGTGTTAAAGCAGTAAGCTTCCCTCAGCATGCAAAGGCGCAGTCCAGCTGTCGCCTATACGTAAAACGAAGATCCCAACCGCCCACTTGACAGTGCGGTATTGTGAGGAGATCCTGATTGTGTCGACTATCCCAGACAATATCCCCGTAACGAAACTCGAGTAGATAATTGACCCACATCTGCTTGCAACGTTTCCTGATAGGTGCGTGATAGCCCCCAGGGAGGTCACACTCTGGCTCTGGCGTCCCAGGTAATACTATCTGGGACAGACCTATACTCAGCGGTTCCATGAGTTTAGTATCAGAGGTAGCAAATGTGTGATCTGTACCCCATGGCCCGGTAAACTCGCCATTTGACAACGGCTTGCCCATTCTCCAAAGCTGATACTCAACCTTAACAGGAGCTTGGTGCAGGGTTCCTAGAGACTGATTGATATGTAGGCTGCAGACGTTCGAAGCGCCTGCGCTATCTGTAGACTGTTCTAAAGGCTCCGAAGCACTCGTGGATGAAATTGGAGACCGCGAACTACTAGTGGAAGTCTTGACAATTGGTCCTGATTCATCAGAGCTCCCGGGAGCGGTCTCTGATGGAAATTCCGTGCTAGAAGTAACTTCATTACTTCCGTGCGAGATAGCAGGTGTGGTAGAGCTGTTTCCTAGATTGCTATGCCCCTCAGAAGGATCCGCGATGGGCGATGTGGTATATGGCGAGGTGTCAACGCAGGTTGAGTGTGGTATTTGTGTCTGCTCTACGCTGGTCGTTCCGCCGGTACTCTGAAACGGACATGGCAGATCTGGAAAGCAGCAAAGGCCCATCTGATACTGGATTAGATTGATGCACGGAGCTAAGGGCTCACATGCAACGAGTAAAGCACTAGACAGTACCGCCGTAGCAACAAAGATTGCCACTTTAGGTTCAATCATTGTTAGGATATGCGTGAGGACTGAGGATCTACGACTCTGACTGTGGGTTTGACCAGCAGCTACATATGCGCGGCTCGTTACTTGTAAATCAGAGCCTACCGTAGCGACCGCGATCCGTGTCCACAAAAAGCTAAAAGGCCATCGACTCCGCACGGACCTCTTTTGCCCAATTGTGGCTCAAGACTGTGCGTAGACTTATCAGCACTATGTAACTTCATTAGTTGCACTAAACCTGACAGCAACGCCCGCCCCGCTTGTGATTCGAATGATTATCTTAGATCGTTGCGCGCGCAGTTCTTTGCATGTCAGTGAATCAAAACCGGCATTCTTGATTGGCGAGGCGCCCCAATGTAAAAGTGGCGCATAACCACCACGAGGATCACACAAATGCGCCAGTTTTTGGTTGGGGCGCCCCGATTGGTTGGAGGGCAAAATCACATTGAGCAGTAGAGCGTTACAGGTGGATGTCGAATCTGCCTTGCTCTGTAAGCGTCTTATCGGGATCTTCTCCATGCCCCGCACTTTCAGCCTTGCGTGGGGGCTGAGAGACGGTCTGACATCCTTCCACCATGAACCTGCTGCCTGCTTCTTTGTATCCTGCTTGACCTCCACCCATTACCTCCAGCTACAATGATCTCTCTCATGTCGATGAAGCACCCTTACTGACATCATTCATACCCCACAATGCGGCTACTACAGCGAGATAACGCCAACAACTACACCCTCACGGCCGATCTGCGCGCTGACAACACCCCGCCGTACGCAATCCTCTCCCACACGTGGGGCGCCGACGAGGTGGTCTACACCGATATAAAGGCGAGGCCAAGTGAATGGCAACAGAAAGTCGGCTACTGCAAGATCCAATTCTGCGCTGATCAAGCGAAGCGACATGACCTACAACATTTCTAGGTTGACACTTGCTGTATCGACAAATCTGACGGCATCGAACTCCAGACTGCGATCAACAGCATGTTCAGATGGTACCGTGATGCGAAACGATGCTACGTCTATCTATCCGATGTTTCCTATCCCTCGACCTCCAGTCAGCCGCCAGGGGTTGGGTCGTGGGAGGCTGCGTTCCGCGGCAGCCGTTGGTTCACGCGTGGCTGGACACTACAAGATACCTCAGTCGGCTGATACATCGAGCAACGTGACTAGCTCTGACTCGCAGTCTTCTCTCTTCGTGCTCTGATCAGCCTGTGGAAGAAGATAGTCGACAGCAGATGGAAGCAGAACAGTCCGAACCATACAAATATCACGACAACAATCGCCGCAAGGACGAGCACCATCGAAGCCAGCGAGACGACATAGCAGAGCTCCTGGAACCGCTCGTCGCCCGCGGACCGCCCCGTCGCGAGCGCGACCTGCATCCCGGACAGCACCACCGTGACGTACACAAACACCGCCAGCAGCCAGCCGAAGTTGCGCTGGAAGAAGGTCGTGTACCGCTGCGAGCCCGTCATGTACGCCCAGACGAGGTTCTGCGGGGAGAGTCCCGCGAAGCCGAGGTGGTAGAGCGTGTTGAGCCGCGTGAGGCGCAGCTCGCCGTAGGCATACCGCGGGTCGACTTCTTGCCAGACCTGCTGCTGGTCTCGGTCCAGGACGTCCCGCGAGAAGCCCGCCCAGGCTGCCCAGTCCAGGGACGTGGGCAGGAGGCCCAAGTCGTGCGCGATCTTGAGGTCTGACTTTGAGCGGACGAGCCACGTGTATGACCATAAAAGCCCCAGCGCGCTGCGGTAGAGGGGCTCGTGTGGGCAGATGCTGGCTGCCCAGAAGGCGTGGCCCAAGAGGTACTCGGGCAGCGGCTTGATGAAGATTGTGTTCTCGTGCCAGACGAGGTGCTCCTCGGGCCTCTCGGTGATGCAGATTGTGCGGCCCAGTAGTCGTTGGCGGTGAAGCTCGCGGGCCGGCTGCATGAGTCCAGCCAGCCAGAGGTAGTCGTGGAGGCCGTCGAGCCGCGGTGTCTGCAAATCCCAGGCCAGGAAGGCGAGGATGTCTGTCGTCGGGTTCCTCAGCTCGTCGCCGCACTGGAAGGCGGTGGGGAGCTCGGCGTTTGCGGAAGTCCAGAGTCGGAGGGAGTTGGTCGCCAGAAACGGCGGGCGTGTGGTCTTGAGCGGGAATTGATCCATCGTATGTGTCATGTATCGCTGCTTGCCTTGTCCTTTCTGCGCCATAGGGTCAACTGGAGCTCTTCTCGTTGGTAGTGAAAGCACGGATTGTGCGAGGTGCCGGTGTGGTGGTCGTCAGCGCCAGCGATCCTTAGCCGAATCTGACACCTCAGGCAAGCCTGCACCAGACCAAGGTCCCTGAGATTGCGAGGCAGACAGCGGCTTTTCCAGCGTGCATGGTCGAGCGGAGCAGATTGGGCCCCGAAGTCGTGTGGCCACCCATACAGACCTGCAGGACGGCCGCCCACCTTCTCCTTGTCGGCAAGGGTTATTGATCATTCATCTCGTAAGCGCGAGTAGCCTGCGAGGCTCTCAGGTCGCTACTGCGCCAGCCTGAAGTGAGGGGCATCATGCACACAAGGGCGAATCACAGGGCGTTTCTGAAGTCGCAGCCCAGAGTCCCGGCACTCTCAGCTGGCCGTGTCGAAAGGCAGCCCCGGGCGCAGTCCGCGGGCGTGTGCGTGGCATACATGAGGCGCCCGCAGAGAAGCCAAGGCCCGGACGGGCTGCAGTCATGCCCAAAGCCTGCTGAGACAGCCGCCCACACGCCGCCCGTCTCGAGTCTTTGTCGCTGACTCTGAACCGATGATCCTCTCTTCTCTCTTCCTTGCGCGGTGTCCGCCGGACAGAGCATCGTCAATCGATATCCTTCCCCTGACCTTACATTCGGTCCTTCGCGGCGGCCACTGGGTTCCGTTGACGACGATCAGCTGCGGGGAAGTCCTGTCACCTTTGTGTAACCTGGTGAGAGCATGATCTGGTGCCCACCAGGGTCAAAGAGCATCCAGTCCTTTCCATGCTCCTCCCCGACTTTGCTTAGTTCTTTTGCTACTTGGTGCATCTTCACTCTGGCATTCCTCTATATTGCAAGCGATTGCGTACCAGAGACACCCGCACGAACGCCAGCCATGTCAGACCCCCAGAAATACACGGTCGGTTGGATCTGCGCCATCACCACCGAGTCCGTAGCAGCCCGGGCCTTCCTCGACGAAGAACACGACGGCCCTTGCCAAGTCTCACAGCACGACAACAATAGCTATGTCCTGGGCAAGGTCGGCGGCCACAATGTAGTCATCGCCATCCTGCCCGATGCAGAATATGGCATAGCGCCCGCGGCGGCAGTAGCCCGAGACATGCTCCACAGCTTTCCGAACGTGCGCATCGGATTGATGGTCGGCATCGGAGGCGGTGCGCCTAGCCGGAAGCGTGATGTCCGACTCGGTGATGTAGTAGTCAGCAGTCGCGGTGGCGGCAAAGGCGGCGTGTTCCACTACGACTTTGGCAAGACTATCCAGAATCAGTCATTTCAAGAGACTGCATTCTTGGACCAACCACCCACGGTGCTGCGGACGACTGTGAACACGCTCAGAGGCACATACGACATGGAAGGCCACCAGCTTGTGGACGATGTGGACAAGGCATTGAAGAAGATCAAGAAGCGAAAAAAATACACACGGCCTCCTCCAGCAAGCGACAGACTATACAAACCCGACTTTATACATCCTCCACAATCGTCTGACGGCTGCGACGTCGCGTGCGGCAATGATGAAACCCACCTGGTGGTCCGGAAGGAACGAGACGAAGAAGAGGAAGACGATCCCGTGATTCACTACGGCTTGATTGCCAGCGGAAGCCAACTGATGAAGGATGCGCGTATCCGGGACAAGCTGGCGGATGAAAAGGGCGTCCTTTGTTTCGAGACGGAGGCGGCCGGCCTAATGAACCACTTCCCATGCCTAGTGATCCGCGGGATATGCGACTACTCCGACTCGCACAAGAACAAGGAGTGGCAGGGCTTTGCGGCAATGATGGCGGCGGCGTATGCGAACGATCTTCTGCGTCAGATCCCGCCCAACAAAGTTGAAGAGGAGAGGCGGATCAGTGGAGTACTCAGTTCGGGTTAGTAGCGCAGTTCTAGTCCATGGAATTTTAGCTAACTATAAGTAGTTCAAAAAGATCTAGAACGTTTACACCTGATGGCGAATGAGACCAAAACTGCAGTTGTGACTATGGAACATAACGATCGCCTCGCTCAACTCGATCGATGGCTTCGCCCACCCGACACATCAAGGAACTTCAATCATGCGAGAAAACAATGGCACGAGGGATCCGGGCTATGGTTCCTGAAGAGCGCTGCCTTCAACGAGTGGAAGCGTGGATCACATCGCCATCTGTGGCTTCACGGCTTAGCAGGATGTGGCAAAACCGTCCTCAGTGCGACAATAGTGGATCATCTCCGGAAGATGGACGATTGCGTCACCCTTGAATTCTATTTCGACTTCAACGACACCGCGAAACAGAAGATGGACGGCGTGTTACGCTCCCTCCTCTTTCAGCTCTACAAGTTAGGGTCTCGCTCTAAAGACCTCGACAGCTTATACCAATCCCACCTCGACGGCCAGCGGCAGCCAGACACACCGACTTTAACAAACTGTCTCCGCGCGATGATCAAGGGCTCGAAAACTACTTATGTTATTCTGGATGCCTTAGACGAGTGTCTGGAGAGAAAGGAACTGCTTGAGTGGATGAAGGAATTCTTCACAATACCCGACCTGAGCCACGTTCATCTGATTGCCACTGGCCGGCCAGAAGAAGAGTTTTTGAGCTTCATTCCCGGCTGGCTCGGCAACGAGCACTGTTTGCCACTGGACAAGAACGCTGTTAACGCCGACATACGCTCCTATGTCAGAGCGAGGCTTGAACAGTGTTCCGATTTCGTGGGCCTATCTCAGGATCTCCTCGAACAAATACGCAATGAAGTCGGAGACCGGGCTGATGGCATGTGAGTTTCCCTCTATCATCTATAAACCCAAGCGAATATCTGACATCCAGTATAGGTTCAGATGGGCCGCATGTCAATTGGCCAGTCTTGCAACATGTATGAGTCCCAGAGCTATCGAAATAGCTCTCGAGACTTTGCCCCGGGATCTCGATGAGACGTACCGTCGCACGCTTCGAAGCATCCCGGCAGATATTGAGAAGGATGCCATGCGCCTCCTGCAGTTTCTCGTCCACACCAAGCGGCCGTTGACACTATTAGAGGCCGTAGAGGTAATAGCCACACAGACGGATGAGGAGCGACGAGGCTTCGACCCGAAGCGCAGACTGTTTCGTGAAGCCGATATTCTACGGTACTGTCCCAGCTTGGTGTCAGTCACGGACTATGGAAGGACTAGGAAGGAGCTCCATCTTGCCCACTTCTCTGTCAAAGAGTATCTTCGAAAACAAGACCAGTTTGACCTCACCAGTGCCAGCGTTGTCATCACAAGAACCTGTTTGAGTTACCTTACGGATATCGAGGGTAGCTCCTGGAAAATCAAGCAGGATTTTCCGATGGCAAGATATGCGGCGGAGTACTGGATGGGCTATGCAACTTCGGCAGAGACTTCAGAAGCCGTTGTTCGGACAGCAGTCAAGTTTTTACAGGACGAGTCAACTTTTCAGCGGTGGAGTCGGTTGTATCAGGCTGACCGGAAATGGGACAGCGCTCCGGGCCCTCCTCGAGCATCCAGACTCTATTATACTTGCCTAGGTGGACTCGTAGCAGCTGCAATAGGCCTGCTGGGCGAGGGCGCCGACGTCAATGCGCAGGGCGGCCACTACGGCAACGCTCTCCAAGCTGCCTCATCCAGAGGCCACAGAGAAGTTGTACAACTCCTACTAGATAGCGGCGCCGACGTCAATGCACAGGGCGGCCACTACGGCAACGCTCTCCAAGCTGCCTCATACGGGGGCCACAGAGAAGTTGTGCAACTCCTACTGGACAACGGCGCCGACGTCAACGCGCAGGGCGACTACCTCGGCAACGCTCTCCAAGCTGCCTCAGGCGGGGGCCACAGAGAAATTGTACAACTCCTACTAGATAGCGGCGCCGACGTCAACGCGCAGGGCGGCAACGACGGCAACGCTCTCCAAGCTGCCTCAGACGGGGGCCACAGAGAAATTGTACAACTCCTACTAGATAGCGGCGCCGACGTCAATGCACAGGGCGGCCACTACGGCAACGCTCTCCAAGCTGCCTCATCCAGAGGCGACAGAGAAGTTGTGCAACTCCTACTAGACAACGGCGCCGACATCAACGCGCAGGGCGGCTACTACGGCAACGCTTTCGAAGCTGCCTCATACAGAGGCGACAGAGAAGTTGTGCAACTCCTACTAGACAACGGCGCCGACATCAACGCGCAGGGCGACTACTACGACTACTACGGCAGCGCTCTCCAAGCTGCCTCACGTGAAGGCCACTGAGAAATTTTGCAACTCCTACTAGACAAGGGCGCTGACGTTAATGCGTGGGGCGGCGTCTAGTACGTCCCTAGAGCCCGCCAGAGACATCACACCCATCTACGTTGCGACCTCTCGGTACATCCGGTCATCATAGACTAAGAATAACGTAATCCACGGGTGAGCGGGTCACACGGGTGAACGGGTCACTTTACTGCAATTTAATTGAGGTTCACTTCCTTCTCCTTTTTCTCCACCTCCAATCATGGGACGACAATCAATTGAAAGTGATTTGGTTCTAGCGTTAAATGCGCTCCAATCCGACCCAAAATTAAGCGTACGAAAGGCTGCGCAGATCTATAATGTATCTCGTACGACACTCCAGCAACGATACCACGGCCGAGCTGCGAAACACGACACCCGACCACCCTGCCAGAAATTAACCTCATACGAAGAGGAGAGTATCGTACGATACGTACTCGACCTAGATTCGCGTTCGTTTCCACCGCGGTTAAGTGGTGTTCGAGAAATGGCGGATCGACTCCTCCGCGTACGCGACGCGCCACGCGTTGGAACGAACTGGGCCTCAACCTTCGTACGACGACGACCTGAGCTCCGTACGCGTTTTAATCGAAGAATCGATTACCAGAGGGTCCTTTGCGAGGATCCGGACGCGTATCGCGCGTGGTTTGAGCTCGTACGAAACATAATCGCGAAATACGGGATCCACGATGACGATATCTATAACTTCGACGAAACGGGCTTCGCGATGGGCAAGATCTCCGCCGAAACTGTCGTTACGACCTCCGATCGACGCGGGAGGCCAAGAGCCGTACAACAAGGCAATCAGGAATGGGTTACAGTAATCCAGGGTATCGCGTCGTACGGCTATTCAATCCCGCCATACATTATCTTCGCCGGGAAGGTCCACCTCGACTCCTGGACCGCGAATAGCCCTCTACCGGCCGACTGGGTAATCGCGCTTTCAGAAAACGGTTGGACGACGAACGAGAGAGGCCTAGAATGGGTAAAACACTTTGATTTCCATACAAAGAGTCGTACGAAGGGTACCCACCGCCTCCTTATCCTCGACGGCCACGAGAGCCACCATTCCGTCGATTTCGAGCTCTACTGCAAGGAACAGAATATTGTCACGCTCTGTATGCCTGCTCATTCGTCGTATAAGCTCCAGCCTCTCGATGTTGGGTGTTTTGGACCTCTGAAACGGGCGTACGGTAAAGAAATCGAAGGTCTAATGCGGGCGCACGTAACCCACGTTTCAAAGGAGGACTTCCTCCCAGCCTTTTATAAGGCGTACGACGCTGCAATGACCAAATCAAACATCCAGGCAGGCTTCAGAGCGACAGGCCTAGTACCGTACGACCCGAATTATGTGATTTCGCAGCTAGATATGAAGTTTCATACGCCGACACCACCAGGTTCCTCTGCTGGACTACCACCCCCATGGGTTTCAAAGACGCCGAACAACCTAATTGAGACCGAATCGCAGACGAAGTATATTGAAAATCGCATCGTACGACACCAGAATAGCTCACCGTCGTCCATTGTTGAGAGCCTACGGCAGCTGAGAAAAGGAGTTATAATGATGGTACACGAGCAGGACCTTATGCGCCAAGAGCTCGCCGAACTTCGAGATGCAAATGACCGCCTCAGCCGCCGTCGTCGTACGAAAAGAAAGCAGCTACAGAAAGGAGGGTCCCTCACGATTGATCAGGCAAAGGATTTGAAGGCTCAAATCGATGCGACGCAGCAGTTAATAGCGGAAACGAGTCAGAATAGTGGTCGTACGAGGAGGCCCGAAACGCGCGCGCGACGATGTGGCGTCTGCGGCGAGCCCGGTCATAATGCTCGTACGTGTCAGAAAGTTGTATCTGCCTCTGAAGAAGAGGATTCTGAATAGTTTGAATTGATTTAAGGCGTTGTGGTTAAATTGTCTTATATATTGTCGTACGAGTTACTGGAAGGTGACCCGTTCACCCGTGTGACCCGCTTACCCGTGGATTACGTTATAGGACTATGTTAATAGCTATCTAATGACCCTAATTTCAAATTACCTCTTAACATCGTTTGTGCTGATTGCCAAACAAGGCTTGACTGCGACCTAACAGCGCGCATACAGCAACCTTGCTCTCGTATTGTAATTCCCCGTCTGCACTGTTTAAGGCCGTTCCTCTGTTCCACGTGCCTTAGGCAAGTATGCAAACCAGTACTATCCGGGACATTTGACTATGGGAACAAGCACGGTGTAAGCGCCAAGAGGCCCAAAAAAGGGCATTAGATATTAAACCAAAAGAGTGAAAAGCGGAAGCCGATTTCGCTAGTGACTGTACCTCTCGTGGATCCAATCCGGCACTCCAGGAGGATGTGCCGCACCGTCTGCGGCCCGTAGTCGCATCGACACTGGTCGATATCGGCCTTGTCAATGGAGTGGAGGTAGGCACGGAGGCTAATCTTCCCCGTGCGCATCCGTGTGATCAACGAACTGATTGCTGTGTGTGCTCCGCGATGTGTACTTAATGTCGCTTTGCCCGGCCGCGCGCTGAGCCGGAAGAGGGCAATTTCCCAGGCTTTCTCCCATTCGACTCGCAGCTTCTGGCGAACGGCGGGCTTCGTGGTTCCCATAATGATCCCGGGGATCGTTGTTGGAGGCGCCTCGGCATGGGGTCCTGCGGCCTGTTGGCGGCTTGGTCCGCCATTTCGTTGCCTGATACGCCGACATGGGCCGGGACCCAGCGGAACTGTACCTCCCAACCTCGGCTTTGGAGCTCATCGAGCGTTCAAGTGGCCTCGACCAGGAGGTACTGTCCCGACGGGCATTTGGGGTTCCGCATCGCTTGGAAACCGGCTCGGTTGTCGGTGAAATTGGCGCACTTGCCGGGGCGGTGAGCAGGCCTCCGGGGAAGGGAAACCCGGCCGAAGTGGGGCCTCTTGGTGCGGTCTAAATTGCGCCGCACGTCGGACCGACCTGTCGGCTCAAAACGGCACTCTGTAGATTCGCCACTAACATTGCTTTGACAACCGCCACTCCCCTTCCTCGCTCATCGGCCCACGCCGAGGCCGCTTGTCCTCTTATGCGACGTTCGCTTCGTGAAATGCGGGCTGAGCGCACCGTTCTTTCCGATAGGGTACGTGGCGAATATAGACTATCAATAGTATAGCTGCTATCCTCGTCCAGAAGTGGAGGAAGAAGTCCCGCACATCGGCGCTTCGTTCTTGCGTAACACGACGTGCGACCTTCTTCGACTATCCCATCGCCCTCAACGCTCTGCCGATGCTGTGGACCGTCACCAGGGTCTCGAACTCGTCCCATATGAACACGACCATTTCGTCCTGGTACATCTGCGGCTTTTCAAGCAGGCGATCGCAGAGCACGCGCAGCATGGGAGGGGTGATGTCTCTGGGCCGGCCGACGCGGTTCGATGGCGCTCGGGTCGTGCCGAAGTATTGAAGGTTCAGGCGGACGGTTCGAATCGAGCGTGTGCTGCAACGAGCAGCACTGGCTATCTGGACATTGGTGAGCGAGCCACTAAGAATCATGTCTCGAATCTGGCCATGCTGGGAAAGGGAAAGGTTGGGAGCCATTTGCGCAGGGCAAGCGATCAGTACTTGATCCGAGAAGCCTTTGGAGTGCTCTACACGCGCTAAGTTGCAGTGAATTAGGCTCTTTGCATATTCGGTGCGACAGATCGGAAGGTTCAAGATGCCGCGCAGACGATGCGTGTTGTTCTGGGCCGCTGTTCCATTTGCACACATGGCCCACAGGACGACCGAAGGCGAGCTAAAAATAGCAGCAACGGTGTGCCGGAGAAGAGCCGAGGCCAATTTAGGCACGAACCCAGAGAGGGGTCCTCGCACACATCAGGCCCGCCTCCAACCCCAAGGCCGCGGAGTAGTCTGACGGTCCCGACGAGACGCCGCCATCCTCTTGCGCAGCAGAATGCGGCGACTCTTCGGGCGGCAGAAGGAGCCAAAACCGACGACTGGCGCAGCAGTCGAGCAGGACCCGCCAGCCCAATCGCTGGCGGCGCCGTCGTCGTCGACCAGGAAGACCTTCCCCGCCGGCATCAAGCTGCTCCACAGCCCGGCAAACCCCGCCGACGCCATCGTCGAGTGCGTGTTCTCTTCCCTCCCCCCTTAGCCTCTGAATCGGCTGCTGACACTTCCAGCATCGTCTTCATCCACGGCCTGACGGGCGACCGCGAGAAGACCTGGACGGCCGCCGGCGCATCCGAGCCATGCCCAAGGCCCTCCTCCCGTCCAAGCTCCCGACGGCGCGTGTCCTCACATTCGGATACGATGCATATGTGGCAGACTGGCGGGGCGTGGTGTCGCAGGGTCGTATTGCGAACCACGCGTGGAATCTTCTGACGTCTCTCGCGGCATATCGAGAGGAGGACGACACGGTAGGTGCCGGCGGCCGGGTATGATAGTGACGATGCTAACGCGAGCAGAATGAACGGCCGATCATATTTGTCTGCCACAGCCTGGGCGGCCTGGTCTGCGAGGATGTACGTTTTTCTCTGCTTCAAGCCACGAAATGCAGCTAACGACGATGACAGGCCCTGTCTACGTCGAGACAGCGGACGGAAGGCCACCTCCAGAATATCCTTCGATCGACACGCGGCATCGCCTTCCTCGGGACGCCACACCATGGATCGGGGCTGGCACGATGGGCCGAGCTGCTGTCGCGATCCAAGGGGATTATCAAGCAGACGAATACCGAAATCGTGGCGGTCCTGAGGCGCGACTCGGAGGTGCTCGCGCGGATCCAGGATGGATTCCATACGATGGTTCAGTCACGCGGCAAGGAAGGCCAGCCGATCGAGATTAGCTGCTTCTTCGAGGAGCTGCCTCTGCCAGGCGTCGGCCAGGTGAGTCTGATGACGCGGCTCCCGTGGTGCGCGTTTGATTGACGGCTGGCAGGTCGTGCCGCAGGACTCGGCCATTCTGCCCGGGTACATTCCGATCGCGATCCACACCGACCACATGGACATGACCAAGTTCGCCAGCACGGACGACCCGGGTTTTGTGGCGATTTGTGGAGAGCTGCGCCGGTGGACCAAGGCGGCCGTGGTCGTGACGCCTCCGCAGGCCTTGCCGGATCGCAGTCGCCGAGAGCCGCAGGGCGCTGGTGAACAAGAACCACAAGCGAATGTTCGGATGGCCTCGAGTTTGGCTGGGTCCAACCGGACCCCCTGTTCCAAGATCAGGAAGCCACAGAACTGCACCTCCCGCTTGTCCCATTCGCACTTTTCCGGTCGCACTCGGAGATAACCACATCTTGACTCATCTGGCTCGCTTATTCGAACACCTCGCGATTGCGCTTTGCGGATACCCTGCAGCGTGGAGAAATTGATGTCCCGACGTTACCACAGCCCCAGGATCGTGCTTCCGGCCTTCCGCGGAGGTCCCCCCTCGAGGATGTTCACCCCCGCGGCTCCAAAAAAAAAAAAAAAAAAAACCCTAACATGCAAAATTTCTCGTACTCGGTGATCTGCAGTTTCGGGGCTTCGGTGATCTGCAAAGTTTCGGGTAGCTCCCGCCGTCTGATCCGCGGCTTGTACGCCACATCAAGACAGCAAGGGGAGAAGAATGAAAGCGAGGGCATAAGACGAATTTCAACCAAGATCATGGATGAGAAGGAGAAGAACTCACAAGAGGCGTCGAGAGCTTCGCGGCCCAGACGCTCGCACATGGCATGCAAACAAAGCTTCCCTTCTACTCTGGCTTACTCCAACCTATCAAGCCAGTGATTCTCGCTGCGTTCGGGACCAATCATGGCAAAGAGCACCAGCGTGCTTTTTGGCTGGGGTGGCTGTCGAGTGGCTGAACCTGGCGAATCGACTATTCAGAAGCACCAGTTTTATACGTAGCTCAAGAGCGGGGTATTCTCTCCTCGGCCTCCCGCCGCTTCCGACTTTAGGGTAGCCTCCAGAGCCTTCCTCGCACTTCCCCATGTCTCCCTCCGACATTTAAATCGCCACGCTGCTGAGGCAACTTCATCCAGCAAACTGAGCTCTTCCTTCATTCTATACTTTGGTTAACATCACCACTAAGTGAGGATCACAGCGGCGAAAATGTGGCTCTTAGAGCGCGACGATGATGGCAACATCGCCCTGGCGGGGCCCTTCGAGCTGGGCACGATTCCCCCATACGCCATACTTTCCCACACCTGGGGCAAGGAAGAATGCACCTTCCAGGATCTACGCCACGGTACGGGCAGGGACAAGGTGGGCTTCGACAAGATCAGGTTTTGCGTCCAGCAGGCGGAAAAGATGGGACTGAAGTATTCATGGGTCGACACTTGCTGCATCGACAAGACGAATGCTGTGGAACACACCACCGCGATCAACTCAATGTTCCTTTGGTATCAAAACTCGGAACGCTGCTTTGCGTACCTGTGAGTTCGGTTCTGTACCTTATTGTTACCTCTACCCAGTACCGTAGCGTGAGTAACGCGAGTAGCTGATCCTATTGTCTGGTGTGCAGTTCCGATGTTAAAAAGATCAACGATAACGCAGCCTTCCGCGCCAGCCGATGGTTCAAGCGAGGTTGGACCCTTCAAGAGCTCATTGCTCCTCGGTCCGTGGAGTTCTTTACGATGGAGTGGTCACGGATCGGAAGCAAGAGAGAGAAAGAGGAGATTATTCGCAGCATCACGGGTATACCGCTGGCAGCACTCCGTGGAGACTCTCTTGTGAGGTTCGGAATCCTTGAACGGGTCGCATGGATGCAGGGGCGCCAAACTTTGCGCCCAGAGGATCAAGCGTACAGTCTGTTCGGTATCCTCGGTGTTACACTGCCCGTCATTTATGGGGAGTTGAAGGAAGCGGCAATGGATCGCCTTATCGAAGCCGCCCGCCGAGTGGATCGTCAATGTCAACGCACCCAGGCCAGGAACCTCGATTGGCGTACCGGACCTGGACCTGAACGATTAGTTCCACATAGGGGAATCAGTGAAGCCGCTCCCGCCCTTGCCGAGTCCCAGGGAGGCCTGGTTGCAGTTTGGCGTGGCAGAGACGAATCCATTGGATTTCCTGTGCCTTTCGTGGAACACTTTGCTGGCAGTCTGAACCTGTGGTGGACCAGAATGTCGTCAAACGATAGTGTCCATTTGACACCGGGCCCTGTCAGGATGCTTCATGCGAATGCACTGAGCAGGGAACGGCCCGCAGTGGCCGCTTTAGCCGACCAACTCGTGGCTGCATGGAAAGGGGTTGATGACAACACTCTCTACTTCTCCACCCTTTCCAACAACTCAGAAGAATGGACAAACCCCCTCCCAATCCCCGACGCCTGGAGCACTGCCAGCCCAGTCCTCGCCTGCTGGGAATGGGGCGGCTCTTCCCGCGTGTACGCGCTGTGGAAGGGGGACATCAACTCGAATGTGTATCTGTCATGGTACGATGGCGAGAACTGGCAAAGGCAGGTGAAGCAACTTGACGGCTTCATTCAGACCGACACATCCCCAGGGCTTACATGCCGCAGAAATGAACTGTTTATCGCCTGGAAGGCTGTTTCAACGGATAAGCTTTACTGGATGCGCCTGGACACCGAAGGCACTGCTCTGTTAGTAGAGCCCCACGAGATGTGTTGGCATGGTGAGAGCAGCCTTGGTCCGGCACTTGTAGAACTCGACGGCACCGTCTACGCAGCATACAAGGCAAAGGGCCAGTTCACTGACACTTGGCTGGCAGCCTGGTCGGTAGAATCTGAGAGGTTTGCCCCTGCTGAGATGATCCCCAACAGCAATACCGAGGCGGCACCCAGTCTTACGAGGACGTGCAATTCTCTTTTGTTGGCTTGGAGAGGCACAGATAACGAGAAGACCATGTGGTGGAGAGTGGGCAGTCCTCAAGTTTGTCGATGAAGAGCTGGCTGGAAGCACTCAGGAAGCTGGAGATTGCGGCGTCATTCCCAGCGTGACAGTACAGTACTGTACTGCAGCCTTGATGGAGGAATTTTCTCAGTCTTGGAGGGAGGTCATGGCGCAAGTATCCATGCATGCCGTCTTCCTTGGCAGCCAATGGAGTCGTGCTGTTAACTAGTAGTTTCATCGTTCCATATATAGGGAATCCGGAAAGCTTCATCATGATTTTGCGTACCTGATGACTGCGCATTATGCGATTATCGAATCGTCATTATATGCATATTTGATGGACAGCAACCCTTTGTCGGCCCGAAGAATTGATACCTGATTTGTCCTGATGACGCACGGTGCAGAGCCGCCGTAACTTGTCAGTGCCAAATGCGGCTTAGTGCACCTGCCCAGAGCAATCGCAGCTGCAGCCAATTCTGGCTGACATGTATCTGGTACGGAGTGGGCAGCGACGCACTGTGTCAGTCGCGGCCGGGGGCGGAACTGGTCCGTGCGGAGAAAGTTTAAACATTGAAATCGTGGACACTGATTTCGGTCTCTACTGTACCCTAATGGCTCTTTACGTAGAGCAATTTATGGATGAGAAGGGGCTTGAACTGACATCGACACTATATATTGCTCAGCTCTCCTTGTGCTGGGAGATAGTAATACTAAGAACTAAGTCAAATGGATTTATGTACCAACGTGGATAGTTTCAAATTGTTTCGCACTATTAGCGACGCCCAATGCGATCTTTTATTCGATCCACAGCTTGCTATCGCGAGACCTGTCCAAGGCAGTGCCATAGAACCGTCCCTATCTAGGCAGAACACTATATTCGGGGAGCGACTTCGAAACGCAGAAGCTCAGCGACTCTTGCTTAATAAATCTGGAGCTCACTTAGTCGAGGATAACGCTGTTTTCAGTCCATGGAGCTTGTTCTTCCCACAACAAGTACAGGCGTCCTCGATAGAAACTATCGACCCCAGGGAAATGTATAGGGGAGCATAAAAATCAGCAGGGGTGGTGTTTAATGCCTGCGCGTTTACGACGACGTGTCTTCGTCACCCGTAGCAAGCAAATAGGCTCTAGGAAGACATTAACAGCGCCGAAAACAATCAGGCACTGGAGCGTGTAGAGAAACCTTCCGTGAAGCCAAAACCAGAGATGCAGTTTTGGGACTAGTAAAGAACGTTATCTTACTTATCTCTAGTGGGCCTCTGGTGTAAATAAGTTAATCAAAAGTACATGATTTGCACCACATGGCTTTCCCACGTAAACTAAAGCAAATGATCACGAAGACTATGGCGCACAGAGACAAGCCAGATTTCCGCGAGGCGCAGCGAGACTTATGTTCGAGATGTACATCCGAGCTTATGAACGGCGATTCTCTTTATGCTATCCTGGGAAACAAACCGGTACGTAGCCTGCAAGAAGGATTCCAGCCCATCTAACAGAAACAAGGCACTTTGCTTGTTATGCGCGATTCGCGTGGGATTGCCATGTATACAGCTCTATGGCTGGGATTCTGATTGCTCTATTTGCTCGGACATAATCAAAATCCCGATTGCTATACAGTCGTGCGGTAAGTCTAATCCGTCTTATTTCCTAACTTCCTTGGACTAACGAATGAAGGTCATGTCTTCTGCAAGTCCTGCATCCAGGAGTCTATGAGATATATCGGGGTAATGTGCCCGTTCTGTCGGCGAGTAGTATCAGTAGGATTACTGCAAGAGGTTGAATGGCAATACCTCGTATGGGAAGAGTTATGATAGTTATTCGAGTTATTGCAAAAAGAGTATCGTCGTTAAATGGGAACATATTGATAGCGCAAGCTTTCTTTCCCTTCTCCATCTCATACTACCGTCCCAGTTTGACGTCATATATAGTATCATTGGTCTACTGTTCTAAGATCGCGAATTATATAATGAAGAAGCTCTCAATAAGTGTAGTATATCAGTAATTCCATAGCATAATCTTATAGTGTGCTTAGTTTCCCAAACAGACTCCGCCTGTGATTAAAGGTCATAGTCGTGTTTGTACAGGCCTTTATATTGGGACCACGAGCACCAATCCAGGCTCCATTAGAGCAAGTTAGATGTCCAGCTGAAGCATCCAGAAAGTCGCCTAGTTAACTATTAGCTTCTCACTTAGATAGAGAGGGCGTTAAGCTCGTACTTAGCAATACGCTTGACATCTTTTTCCCTGAGGGCGATGTACATTCGCAAGATAACGTATTGTGCTTCGGATCAAGGAAACAATTTTCGCAAGAATTCACGAAATAGCCACCACATTCGTCTATGGAGTCTGATATAGCTAAGCGTCCTCCGTGGTTCCAGAGGCAAGGCGCTAAATCGAGGTACGAGTATGCTACACTTGATGAATTGGGCCATAGATGGCAGTTTGCACCTAGGATAACAGACCCAGAGAAGGCACCTGGAGACTGTGTACTATGAACGCGTATGCCTGAGATTCATTATTATTAGCTACTAGTATATGTAAGTGTATAAGGGATTAATGCCTATTACCGTCACAAAGTTCGAAGAGGTTATGTTGATAAGTGTCGCAAAGACCCTTAGATAGTGAAAGCACGAATGCGAAGAGTGATAGGAAAGGTTTATGACCCATCTTGAGTAGTTACGTAGTTAGTATTTTGCAAGAATGTAGAGTAGTCCTACATTTTATAGCAAGCATTCTCCCGTGCTAGGAGCTAGTTTTGGAACATGGAGGGTCGCTCCATTTTCGGCTTTGGACTAACCTTGTCCTTGGACCGTGGGTGTACAAGCTGTCTTCGGACCACTCCCTGTCCTAGGACCACTAGCTGTCCTGAGACTACTGGCTGTCCTGGGACCACTAGCTATCCTGGTACCACTGGCTGTCCTGGGACCACTCCCTGTCCTAGGACCACTAGCTGTCCTGAGACTACTGGCTGTCCTGGGACCACTAGCTATCCTGGTACCACTGGCTGTCCTGGGACCACTGCCTGTCCTAGGACCACTGCCTGTCCTAGGACCACTGCCTGTCCTGGAACCACTAGCTGTCCTAGGACCACTGGCTGTCCTGGGACCACTGCCTGTCCTAGGACCACTGCCTGTCCTAGGACCACTGCCTGTCCTAGGACCACTGCCTGTCCTGGGACCACTGGCTGTCCTAGGACCACTGGCTGTCCTGGGACCACTGCCTGTCCTAGGACCACTGCCTGTCCTGGGACCACTGCCTGTCCTGGGACCACTGCCTGTCCTAGGACCACTGCCTGTCCTAGGACCACTAGTTATCCTGGTACCACTGACTGTCCTAGGACCACTGCCTGTCCTGGGACCACAGGTGTACCGGCTCTCCTAGGATCGCTAGCTATCCTGGTACCACTGGCGTTATGGGACTACGGGCCTCCTAGGACGAGCTACTTTCGGACTATCATTCGTCCTAGGACTCTCTACTTGTAGCCTTCTTAATATAAGTAAGTGGCGGGCTCTTTAAGAACGAGAAACTTCGCTTTCACTATCTACTCAACGATTCCAGCCATATCATCACATATTTTCTTTGGAATTCTTTCCTGCCTTACCGTTTATAAACTGTGTATTCTAAAATGATCGTACTTGAACCCCAACAGATATTCCGCGGATCGGCCGTTCAAACAACATGGTCGACAGATGTCGTTGTGACCCAAGTACTTTGTTCCGTTAGGGTAAATAATCGAACGTTTCATGGCTTAGAGATCCGAACTTCAAATGAGGCCGCAGATTTTATTGGTCTCGCCTGGGCACTTGAAGATAACTACATTCTCCACGATTGGAAAGAAGGTAGCTTACGGCCGTATGGGTCTAGACAGACTGTCTTACGTAAGATTGAGCATGTTTGTGCCCATTACGAGGATCGTAATGGCTTGGTGTATTATGCTATCAAGTGGCTCGATCACCAGTGCCCGACATGGGAGCTAGAAGAGACCTTAGAGGACTGTACACTTATCACGGAGTACTGTCTCGCACTATCATAGTATAACATGG